CACACACACACACACACACACACACACACACACACACACACACACACACACACGTAATCTCAATCTATCTGAACCAAAATGTGTTTCTAGTCATATGTATACATTTTACAGCATGTAAACTGGTGGCTTTGCCATTTTGATGGAATAAAATGAAGGTTGGGCGCAACAACCATTTGCCTGTTTGTCAGGTAACATGTTTTTAGCATACATTACCTATTTGGAGCAATGAAATACATTTATGTTTGGAAGCCACCCAGGCTGTGTACATGCCCTTGTTTATAGACCTACGTATGGCCAGAATTTAGTTTCTGTGGCATGAAAGCATATTCTTACCACCTGCAGAAACAATTGGTTCTTGGCTTTTTAAAAACACAACATTATGATGAAGCAAAGAAATAATTAAGAAAATTGTCAAGCATTCAAAGTCATACGTACTTTAAAGATAAATTAGCAGCCAGACCGGTTAGCTTAGCTTATAGAATATCACTTAAGCACTTCAGCCATTTCATTTTTTTTCTCTATTCTTTAAATTTTCTTTTTTTGCTGTTGTTTTTTCGGTTGTCTACCATTCTCAGGCAGAGACAGTGTCTCCCAGGAGGTGGTGATCAGAAGTCACGACTAATGATAATAAACACTGTCAGCATTGATGTATATATGTACATGAGAGTCCATTGATAAATACAAAAGAATGATCAGAATAAAAGGACAGGCTTTGAACAGATTACCTTTGGCTAAAATGGATAGCAGGAATGTATATGTGGCCAGTATGGACTATGTCAGATTAGAGCCTGACCAATACTGTTTGTATGGGTGCATATGCAGATCCAGAGCGTTAAAAAAAAAAAAAAAAATTAGTAATCATACACCAGCCAATACTCTGCTACCCTCTTGACACCCTATGCCCTCATATGGACCTTACATTTGGTTTTTCTGCACCTAATAATTCATTCTACTCAATAGTGTTTTATCATTTGTTACATTGTTACTTAAAAAACAACAACAACAATTTACGTTAATGCTTAGTTTCAATACTTAACATATTTGGAATAGCTAGGTGAAATTTAAAATGCGTTGTGAAGCAGAGCTCAGGTCACAGGCTGTTATACCGGATAAACACAGATCATGTTAAAGTTACATTGAAGTAAAGGGAAAATAATGAGATATTTATTAACTTTAAAGCAATGTTTTCACAACCTAATTGGCAACTTACTACAAAGACACTGCATGACTTTTCACCACCGTCCACTTTGCTGTGATAGTATCGTATGTGGTGTGGACAGTGCTGAAAGGTACAGCAAGCAATAAAGTCGAAGGCACTCTGCTGGGTAACCTATGAGAGAGAAATTTTAAATGAAATGCAATTTATCAACATTAGATTCAGTAAAAAGAAAAAACAGACATATTGGATAACATACACACCGATGCTTATTTATCTGTGAAAGGCCAATAGAGGCTCATATATCAGTTGCGCTGTTCATCAAACAACATGGCACAGCAGAAAATCAAAGCAAGAAGCAACAGGCTGAGGAGGATAACAGACAGAGGAGCACTCTCCTACTGAAAGGCTGGTTCCAGTCTTCTCATGGTTCCCCAAGGAATACTTTGTCACTGATAATAGATAGATTCCAGACACTTGTAAATAAAGTGAACTGTTCTCAGTGTCAACCTAAACAATTAATCAAGAATCAGTTATTTTGAGGCACCGTTAAGAATGCAACTAGTGTTCATATTTCATGAAAAGGTCTACAGGAAGTGTGTGGCGGAAAATTAAATTGTGGCCAGAGGCTGTAAGCAAGCCTGTATAAGAGGACTGGATTACTGGGGGATTCCACATGCTCGCAATATGTGGTGTACAATAAAGTATATAATTTATGTTATTTATGTTCATAGATGTTATTATACTTACCCCCATTCTATTTTCTGAAAAAAAGAGCACCATGAGTGTTTAAAAATACCGCAATGTCGATATAAATATAGATATGAAACCCTTTTTAGGTTGAGAAATGTTTGGATTATACATGTGGCTACAGAAACGTAAATGCCAGCATTGGCGAGTGGGTTGAAAATAACACAATAACCCTGACAAATGAATAATAAGCTGAGGGAATGTGTGTGTAATTTATGACTGAGTGAACTGGAGTCTCAGTGACTAAATAAAAATGACTACATGCCATTATTTGTGTTTCTTGAGATTTAGATAAACTGTAGTGCCTACTGAAGCCTTTATTCCTAACTGTGTGTTGTTTTTTTCCCCAGGACTCAAGCTGGTGGAGAGTTACCCTTATGAGACAGTGGAGAGGGATTACAACTATGTCCGCTTGGCCTCTATTTCTGCTGGCAAGTTCACCAACCTTCATTAACTTTCACCATATTGTAAACCCCTTTACCCTTTGAAGATGTTTGTGTTCTATTAAGTATACAACATTACGCCAAAGCCTTTTCACTGTAAACATGCCCAATATAAACATTCACATCTCAGACTCAGATGAAATAACATAATCCATGAACGTCAAAGCATACTAATGGAGGCATTTTTTGATACTACTTTCTTAAAATAAATGACTATTCCAAATCTGGCCTATGAAAAGAACATACTAGCTTAATATAACACCGAATGACAACAGACTGAACTAAATATCCCTTGTCAAATGAGGCAAAGTTTTATTTAAGAACAGCTGAAATCAGGTTTTGATACTGATGTGGTCATTGTTATCAAGAGCCAAAGCCATGTTTTGGCTATACATTATATGAATCTGCTGGGAATGGGACTGGAACCAACACAACAAAACCAAATTCATATATAATGAACACAAGTAGCAAATGTTTATGTTAAAAACTGGGACCAAATATTTGGCATTTAGCCCAAAAAAAGAACTAAAAAGAAATCAGTTATTAAAATATTGCTGACTTTTCTCCGTTGACATTTCATAAACTGCACCGCTGTCTTCATCTAGTTTGACCAGAGGACCTGCCAGCTTTAAAAATATATATATGTAAACAAGCTTATCACTCATCTCTGAAGTACACAACTCACAGAGGTCAGCTCACTTCCACATTTCCCAACATAAATCCCAAAGGCTCATTCACAAATTGTCACAAAGTAGCAAAAGCTGCAATCACTGTGCTGCTCATTTCAGTGGCAGATCTACACATAAATATTTGATATTTGACATATATTTATTAGTTCAGTCGTCATATATTACGAACAAAAAAAAATAACACTCTTCAATAATAATAAGAATAATAATAAATCACTGAACAGGCTCAGTAGTCCCTATATTTATGCCCGGCCTATATTCTTATCATTAATGGTACCCCACCTTCCAAGTAGAAAGAAATAACATCAACAAACAGAATAATGAATTGCACATTTTTATGCACATATCAACATCATTCCACAATTTAATCCCAACAACAGAAATAAATCTTTGTTGAATCTCTTTCTTTGCTTTATTATAATAAAATAGAAAAAAAAATCTCTCAAGTCAAACTTAATCTCCCACACTGAGAAAAACCTTCATACCCAGTTTGAGAGTACCTTAGATTTAGCTTGAACTTAATTTGCATTGTTTAAAAAAAACAACAACAACAAATTTCATTTAAACCAGTTTCATCATATCGAACCTGAGAAACAATGGCTCAGTGTGATCATAATATCCAGACCTATTACTCTTTTTTTGTAACATAACTATTGGATTTATTGTTTTGAGGGTCATGCCCCACAGTTCCACACAGTAAGAAAAAACAGGAAGTATAAGTGAACAGTAAATTATATGCAGGGCATTATAATCCAACACATCCTTAGTTAAAAAAAAAACCTCCTAATTATTTTGATATATTTTACCTATAATATAATGAAACATGTTATGTTTCATGTTAATTTATAATTAGTCATGACATCTAAAATTTTACCTCATAGACTCTTAATTTTAGATGTCAAAACCTTTAATTCAATATTACATTAGTATAACAATAGTGTTCTGATGCAAAAGATAACTTGTTACAATAAGTTTGTGTACCTGTGCTATTTGATGTTACATACGACTGAAGATTTACAGTCACCATGAAATAAGAAATGGAAGATGAGATCTTGTAAAGTAAAAGATAAAAAGTAAGTAGTTAAAAGTCTGATAGTGAAGTATTTTAGCTGTTGACAAGCATTTCAGTCTTGTCTAAAGCAAAGGACATGGCAACTCAGAAATCACTTTGCATTTAATTCAGGGTTTTTTTTAAGCACCAAATCAGTAAAACAAATACTCCAAGGCGCTTTATGTCGTAAGTTAAGGACTCTATAATAATACATTAAAATTCTTTACTGTTCTCTGGTAATACCTTATTTAACCTACTTTGTGGAGGTGTGGGTAAATACATGTAAACGTTCATTATAACTGGTGCACATTCTGCAGAAAAGTAACAAGAATTGCACGTCTTACTGGGTTTTGTGAAAAAACAATCTTTCTTTTCTTACTGTCATGTTTAAATTCTGCGACCCTGTGGAATTCAAATTAGAAAAAAAGGAACAATTGAGTGTTCATAATTTTTCTGTTGGGCTGGGGGACGGGGTACAATTTAAAAGGCAAATTAAATTCAAAGATTCACAATATTCAGATCAAAGGAGCACATCTCAGTTATGATAGGGCCAGAGGCAGGGTAGACCCTGGACAGTTCTCCAGTCTGTCACAGGGCTAACAGAGTGACAAACAACCATTCCCACTCTCATTCATATCTATGAGCAATTTAGACAGACCAGTTAACCTAACCCTACTAGCTGCATGTCTTTGGACTGCAAAGGGGAGAATCCAGACAAACACAGAGAAACATTCAAACCTCACACAGAAAGGCCCTGGCTCGATTCGCACCTTCAGGACCTTCTGATGTGAGGCAATAGTGCTAACCACTGCGCTCTACCAAATATGAAACACTTTTAAAAAAAAACTTTTTTTCTCCAGTATAAGGCCATAGAGGGGTGTTAAATATGTTAAGAGTTGAAATTATGACATTGTGCTATGTTCAAAGCACTGAAGGCCAGACTCTTCGTCTGATGCTCCTTTTGTTTTTCTGATAGTCAAAAACAAGTCCCCCAATTTTTGTTTACACACACACTTCCTCCTTAAACCTGATGTTCAATTCCAAACTCCTTATCTGATGTTTTAACAACAGGAGATTACATCTCATCAGGATAAATTGGTAAACTAGTACATGCTTATGTTCTCATTCACATACACACAAAACCTCTCGATTAGTTTTCTGTTGAAACCTTGTCACTAACCTTACTTCCGTCCACAGACTCTGATGTTGGCATGACAACTGTGAATCGCTGCCTGGATGCAGCCAAGGCTTGCAATGTGGACGACTTGTGCCAGAAGCTCCGCACAGAATATGTCTCGGCTTGTATCAAACCCACTGCCAAGTCAGGCCTGTGCAACCGGCCCAAATGCAATAAGGCCCTGCGCAGGTTCTTTGACCGTGTTCCTGCTGATTATACACATGAGCTGCTCTTCTGCCCATGTACGGACACAGCCTGTGCAGAGCGTCGAAGGCAGACCATTGTGCCCAGCTGCTCATATGAAACGGTGGATAAACCCAACTGCATTGCACAGATGAGGATCTGCAAAGCTGACTATGTGTGCAGGTAGGAACAGAAGTAAATACGTAATAATAGACTAATAACAGACTCCACTTGGCAAATGTATGCATCAAAACATAAAGGAGGTTCGCTTGCATCCGTAAATTATTTATATAATATCAACATGTTATTGGTTTCTCCTGACAAATATTATTTTTCAACAGTTTTTTCAGTTTTTGGGAAATAAATAACCAGCAGATATAATCAGCCACCTCCCCAGTGAGGTCACGGTTGTACTTCTTGTTCTGCTTTGGAGCCAAAACCAGTTTTTCACCTGCTACAGGTTCTAACAGACTAACATCACCAGCTACTGAAGTTAGAATTTCTCTCTGGAGAAGGTAGCTGGTGAGAAAGCAGGAAACGGAAAGGACTGAACAGCAAAAACGAATCTTTCAAAGTAAGAGCGAGGGTATTACCAACTAGTTAATCAATTGCAGATGGCATTTTCTCCCAGAAGGAGAAAAAAATAAAAGTTTCTAAATGCAGCCTTCTTCAGCAACCTGCATGAGTAAAAGTTTTTTGTTGGAAAGCATTTATCACTATGCATCTTATTTTGATACAGCAACACACGGCACTAAGATAATTGTTTACTCCAGCTTTGATATTGCTAAATACTCTAGTTTCTCTTGTTTTTCTTGGATATAGATTTTACTTGTATTCTCCATACATATTTAGGCCAGTGCTGTTCAATAGTATGGCTCTTTGAAACTAAATAAACAGCCACTCAATCAACAAAATGGCCTGCTGTTTTACCCTAAAGCTTTGTACCACCAGTGGTTAGAACACCCCAGAGAGCCTGTTGGAATAACACATTAAATATTTAGCACAGATAAAGAGCCAGATGGATCAGAGTTATCACTCATTGCTATCTCTGGTCATGGCCATTATTTTTCCACAGCCCCATTAGACTCAGAGGGCTTTACTAATGATCCCAGGTCTGGGGAATGAAATATATTACTCTTTCTATCACTTTCACATTACAGCTCAGTGCTTTCACTCTTCACCATGGCCTGCAATATTTCTTTAATGTTGGAGCAGCAAACTCTTAATTAAATGACTGAGTTATAACTTAAGTTACTTAGAGTAAGAAATTATATGTAAAAATGAAATCAGCAAACCTTTTAGATAAAAATGTAGAGTTCTGTTGTGTTCTTCCTAACTAGTATGCATTTTGTGTTTTTATAGGTCTCGTCTGGCACAGTTTCAGTATGACTGTGAACCGTCCAAAACATCTGCCAGTGGCTGCAAGCAAGAGAACTATGGAGCCTGCCTCCTTGCCTACACAGGGCTTATAGGTATGTGAACATCTGGAATGTAACACGGAGAGCGAAAACACACAGTCGAAAACATAAAATCAACACCTGTAGGAGGAAAAAGACAGTATGTAAGTGACGCTGTGTGGCATATGTTGGGAGAGAGAAGGAAAGAGAAAACTGTGCAGCCTTAAATGCACCGGAATGAGCAAAAGCTAGCTAGAAGCTAAATTAATAAATACAGAACAGGTTAAGATTGAGTGGGAGAACGAAAAGACAAAGTTCAGCTTGGTATAAGATGGTATAAGTATAAATATCTCTCATTGCAGAAAAAATTGAAGCTCTTTATGCAGAGTGAGGTTTAATCTGTTTTATAACAGGTGGCAAAAGAAGAAGAGCAGGTAGAGCAGACATTTCTTTTCCATGCACTGGAAAGAGGAGCTAACCTAATGCATTTCAAGAATCTCAAATGGTGCCCCTCAGCACAAACACACACTTGGCATTTTCATTCTTGTCTTGTATTTATTACAGTACTTGAAATCCCACCAACACTATGTTGGGGGGCGCGGGGGGGAGAACAGAAAACAATCTCAATGCCAGAGACTTCTGTGACCTAAAAAAGAGAAAATTGGAGCATTTTTCAGCATCACTCTATTATATAATATGACTGCAGCTAATCTAACCTGTGGTGTTATAATATTACCATGCTTTTACATCAGGTCAGTGTATAGGGAATGCAGAGTCCATTAAGGCTTCAGAAAATAATGCATCATGATTACAGTGTAACAACTCAAAAGCAATGCGCATTTAATATTGATTGACGGCTGGCGCTGTCTCTCTGCAGGAAGTACAATAACTCCCAACTATGTTGACAACTCCACGTCCAGCGTAGCCCCATGGTGCTCATGCTCAGCCAGTGGGAGCCAGAGAGAAGAGTGTGAGAATTTCCTGGGATATTTCACAGACAACATCTGTCTCAGTGAGTGCTACCTTTTTACTCTAATGTCAGCAAAGTAGTGCACAGACTCAGGTTTTTGTTGTAGGATTGTGTTCATTTAGAGATATTTGGGAATAAATCATTAGACTATGCTGTTGGCAGCCTGTTTAACTGGTGATATGTGGTTCAAAAGAAAGGGTTAATGCGCCTTTTTTGTAAGTTTTGGGTTATAGATTAACCCTTGCCTGTGTAATGTCAATATTTTTGTTACTCTGCCAACATTTATTGTGTTATTAAATCAATACAACCACAACCATCCATCCATTCTCTTCCGCTTATCCATGTCAGGGACTTGCTGGCGCTGAAGCATATCCCAGCCGCCACGTGGCGAGACGCGGGGTACAACCATAGCAGTTTATAGATGCTTACTTTTTCTCAATGGCAAGCATTGGAGACCACATGTATGATTAATATTTAGAATTTACCGCTGTTAAAACACACGTATGTACAGAAGTGATACTCGTGACAAAATGTAATGAAAAAAGAAAAATCAATCATAATCAAGATATACTGTAGGCATAAAGAAATATGTTTATCTTGAACAAATATAAATGAAGGAAGGTTTTCTGGTAACTAACTGTTTACTTCTGTGAAACGGACTAGATTATTGCCACTCTGGAAAACAAATAGCCCGTGTCTGCCGATCTATACGACACATGAGGGACTATTTTGCTGTGTCTTGCATGTGTATTTCCTACACTTGATGAAAGTATACTGTGACTGCCTGCCCATTTTGTTTTGTCACACATTGCAGCTCTCATATATTTGTTGTCACTGGATCTAGAACAGAATTTAGAACAGGGAACATTTCTTGATAGTGATGAATTTTAGTGGCATCTGGGATGAAAAGTTCTTAATCAGATTTGAGGTCCTGGTCATGGTTGCACCATGCTGGCAGTTCTGCGGGGTCGCTCATTCCTTGGGGAAGAAGGCCAATCAACTTCAACAGTTTTCTCTCCTTGCTGGTGTTGGGCTTGTTCTTGGCATAAATTATGGTCGAGCTCATCCTTGTCATATGCATTGCTATACCTTAAACGGTTGAGCACAGGGGTGTAATTTCCAGGGGGGTTAGGGGGGTTATGACCCCTCCAATAATCAGACCCAACCAATATAACCCCCTCAATAAAATTATCAATTATTTTGCATAAATAGGCTGTTGATTTTCTTTCCTAATTTCAGGTATTACCAGCAAAGTAGTTGCATGTTTAATCATCTGGCAATTTACCCAGATTGTTACACCCCGGCCTAGGCAACCGGCGTGCAACACAGGGAAAATAAAAATAAAGGAAAAAAAACAAAACAAAAAAAACTACTACGGGTCTCCACAAAAAAATCCCAAAACGAAAGTATCGACAACTATTTACATCAAAGCAAAATAAGACATTTATTTACATCAAAACACCAAACTATTTACAACCAGGGGGGAAGATCGCCAACCTGACAAACTGAAACACAGGGCTTAAATACATAGAGGGAGCAATCAGGGAATGGACAACAGGAGGGAAACACAGCTGGGGCAAATCAGAACTGACGAGACAAGGAAGCGTAAACTGAACACACTGAGATAAGACAGACTTTCAGAGTAAAGCAGGAAACACATAACAGTCACGCCTAAAACAAAACACTGACAACACCGAATCGTAACAAGATTTATTTATTTATTTAGACAGAGAGTTTGACTCTGCCCCAGACCATTTCCTATGGGTTACCCCCCACACACATACACTCCTTCCCCACCCTTCTAACTAGAGTTTACACTGTCCTATCCAATAAAAGCAAAAGGCCTTGCATTCATTATCTTCCAAATTCGCCTCTCTTCTACAATTTCTGAGTTCAAAATCTTTTCACTGATACACAGTAACACAGGCGAAGTGCTGCGTTCCACCACTGACTTGCAGTCGATTTGAGTAGTTCCCAAAAAAGAGGGTAAAGTGTGCAGGATGTACAGGATGACAGGTGTAAGTGCATGAAATGTAACACTGTTGGGAACTTGTGCAGGAAAATCAGGAGCAAAGATGAAAATGGACATGCATGCAGGTACACATATACAAACAAATACACCCTGCTCCATCCACCCACTCAGTGTTTACAGAATGAAGTTAGGGGTTAAACTTCAGGAAGACTTACTGGGGATATTAACAATTTTGCTCATTTATATTTCATATTATATGCACTATATAGTACATTACTTTATGTGAAATTGAACTGCATCTGGCACAGGTAAAAAGACAGAGCCTGCAACTGTAGAGCTGAAACAAATCCTGTTTTCCCAAATTGCTGGCTCGCTCTGATTTCTGTGGTTTCACATCCTTCCACTTAACTCCTGGTTGAGCAGTGTAATTTAATTTGTAAGATAAAACACAAAAAATGCATTTTGTAATCAGTATAATTTTCACTGATAACCTGTAATACAGGACATTCAAGGGGCTTGATATGAAAACCAAATTAAGCTCCATGGCAGGCATAATGATAGGATGGAGCTGTTGGGATTCAGTGAGAAAAATGTTTTCCAGCATACTTCATCACTGGCACAGAGAGAGATGTGTTTAAATCAAGGGTCTCTTTGTAAAATTCAGAGTGTGCTCTTTCTCACTCCCTCTGGTTCATTCTTTCATTTATGAATGAAACAAAACACTTTTTTAAATGTTGCACGATCATTTGCACTTTATGTGGTTTCTTGGTAATTCCACCTGCTCTTTCAGACAGTCACTTCTAACTGAATTATATGTAAGCAACCCTGTAATTATTAGCCTATTTAAAACTTATCATATCTTATCAGCACGGTGGCACGGTGGTTAGCACTGTTGCTGCACAGCAAGAAGGTCCTGAGTTCAATTCCACCATCAGGCCGGGGTCTTTCTGTGTGGAGTTTGCATGTTCTCCCCGTGTTTGCGAGGGTTCCCTCCGGGTACTCCGGCTTCCTCCCACCGTCCAAAGACATGCAGGTTGTGGGGATAGGTTAATTGGATAATCCAAATTGTCACTAGGTGTGAATATGCGAGTGTGAATGGTTGTCTGTCCCTGTGTGTTGGCCCTGCGACAGACTGGCGACCTGTCCAGGGTGTACCCCACCTTTCGCCCTATGACAGCTGGGATAGGCTCCAGCGCCCCCCGCGACCCCAAAAAGGATAAGCGAATGGATGGATGGATATCATATCTTATTTAAAGAACTGATGGAAAATAAATGCTGTTGAAGATTTTGGAAAAATTTTAATTCCCCAGGTGTGTTAAAGTGATCAAAAAGGAGATAAATGTGCAAAAGCACTGTCTACTGACCAATCAGTGCTCGGGAAAATAATCACACCATTCTTGGAAGATCCCTCAGACCTTGGTGGGTAGGTAGAAAGACGCTTTTCTTTGCAAGCTCCTTTGACTACGATGACCTAGAAGACTGAGAACCTTCAAAGACATAAGATATCAAGGTCTAAAGAACAATAACATTATTTTAAAATTTCTAGTAGCCCAAGAGAAACAAACAAACAAACAAAAAAAAAGGGATAAAAATTGTGTCTAAGAATTTGTTTCTTGCTCACCTCTGACAGAAAAAAAAAGAGTTTAGAAAAGGAGTGGGCAATTAATTTTCTCAAGGGGCCACATGAGAAATTGGGACTGCCCCGTGTGTCTTATGGAAGCTCTGGAAAACTAATAGTCCTTTCCTGCTTTAGATACTTGTAAAAACCTCTTTCTTAAAGAGAATCTTAAAGATTCTTTAAAGATCTGATTGATATCTGATCTTTAAAACAGAGCACCTGTTTGTACTATACTATCTATACAATCAAATTAGCAAGTACAGGCTGCATTTGAACTTTGGTTTTATGTTTATTCCTTTAACTTACTCTTCATTGTTAATTTAAAGGTATTTTACACACATCTGTACATGCATTTACTGTAATCTGCCAGGTTCTCCTGTTATTTAAGAGGGAAACAATGCTGATATGTTTGTTGACTTACGTAGTGAGCATTTTGTTGTTTACCTTTATAAGATAACATAGGCCAAACTTTATTTTTATAGTGTTGCTAACCAAAGTGCTTGAAGCTGTTAAACTAAAGTACACTGACACACTCTTTGATTATCTGTAGCCATGTAACAAGGATGCTACAGCTTTCCTTGCAGAACTTGCTGATATTTGTTGAAATGTCTATATATATATAATATATAATATATAATGCTTTTTTAAAAAACATGAACAACTGTAACTCTCAGACACTCTCAGCTGACACAACATAAATTAGTCACCATTGCCATACATGTATTTGCATTATGTCTTTCTCTAGTCTCTTTGTTTTCCATGCAAATTTTTAAACTTCCTCTCTTTCCTTCATATTTTTATGACCTCTGCTCTGGAGTGTGAATAATGAATGTCCTTATTACTGACCCTGGCAAGCATATATCTATCACAGAACCTGTACACATTGAGAATATCTTTGGTATGTGTAGCGAGGTGAATCTTTGGCCAGTCTTTCCTCGGGCCCCCTGCCTAGAAAAGATACAGAGACGTCTCACAGTTATTTGGCCAGTGCAAACGGTCTAAGTGTTAATGAGGTCGATGTGGAGAGGCAGGTGCAGTTTGGATGCTTGAAGAGAATACTGAGTATTTTCGCCTTTCTTTTTTCCTTTTCTCCTATGCTGTCCAAATCCAAACTGGCCTTGGCCTAGGAGAACCTCTTATGCAAGATTTACAACGCAGAACAGGAGGCATCTGTCATGACTGAATAAGACATGAATGTAACTCAATGAAAACACCAAGGTGCTGCTGCTGAGGAATAGTAACGTTTTTTACTGCTATATCTAATGTTTCAGGTAATGCGTTCATGATGTTTGGAAGGGAATCAGACCAACAGCCGACTCACAGCCAGTACAGCACAACCAGCCAAGGCAGAAGAGAAAACAGCAGCACCACCTCTCCACCCGGAACCATAGAAACTATGAGGAACATTCTGGATACAATAATACCAACACAGGTGTGCAGTTTTCTCGTCATTCTTTTCTTGCACCTCTACAAAATCCCACGTTTAGAAGTGAACCATTTCTGGCAAAACAACTTTCTCAGATGTGCAACATTGTAGGCTTCTGAAATTATTTTGTACAGGACTGAGACAACGACAGTGAGATTTGTTGCTGTCTGTGCCATTGTTTCAGCTGCTCATTTTCCGTATTCCAAATGGAATTTGTCTGATGAAAATGACATAAATCGTGTTAATATGACCATTTTTTTAAAGGTATAAACATTTGAATTCACCTCCAAAAGTTGATTCTGTTCATCAGTATTCGTCACTCATCAGTCTGAAGACGTCACTTGGATGAGTGACGAAACGTTTCTCCCACTGAAAACGCTTCGTCCAGATGAACAGGATCAACTTTTGGAGTTTTACTTACCTGGATGATTGAACATGCATCAAGACATTTGAATTCACCCTTATATAGGACCATCATGGGACACTTTTATAACTAATACTGCTGCTAATACTTGCATTAGGCAACACAATACTAGCCAGATAATACCCTAACCAAGCTGACATGGGGTGCTGATTAGGAAGTCTCGAAATAAGGTTGACCTTTTTGTTAATTCATTTCAGTGCAAATAAATATGTAGTGCATTTTAACTTCTGCATACACATACAGTACTACACAATAGCAAGTTCACTCTCTTTATTCAGAATGAGAAGTATAAAAAATACTGTTTTCATTGCCAAGTGATGATCTGTGGCGCCTAGGTTAAATTTTATTCATAAAAATGTAAGTTGCACACATAAATATTCAATGGACCACTGCAGCTAGTCTTTGGCACATCCATGTGCAGCAGGCTATGCATGTTCAAGGTCCAATGTAGCACTGCAGCCAGCCATTTTTCTTGGGGAGGACATTAAGTATAATACATTACAATATAATATATTACATTTTTGATTATGATCACCTAATCTGACACAGAAACCATTTCAAAACACAATTGTGTGTGTGAGGGTCTTCTCACTGCATTTCAGCAGTGGAAGCAGCTCTTGCTTCCACTTTAGCTTTACTTCAGTCCTTACGGTGAACCACAAGCAAAGCTAAATTGTCCTTTTTATTACTTTTGTGAATATAGTCACATTACAAATCCCTAAACAGGTACAATAATAGATAGATTCTAGTTATAGAAAGATTTTTTTCACAACTTATGTACCATTAAGCTCTACATTTTTGCTCACTTGTCTTTAGGCTGAATCCTTTTCTCCCTTTCTCTATGTAAAAGCAAAGTTTAAAGGTATCATTAAGTTTGTCCTGTGATTATTGGTAGCAGCGGGAGAGAATGGACTGGTACTTACAGCGTGTCTGTTTGAGCACTCAGACTGCTTTCTTACTACAAGTCTCATTTAGCCACACAGTTATGCAGCACTTTTATCTACGCCTTGCATTCACGCACAGACACACACACACACACACACACACACCACTGTCTGTAGGAGAGTCCCAGCTGATAGGGTTTTTCACGGTGCAGCTTTAAACACATTTTTCACCCAAGTTGCTGCCTGTATTTGCGTTGGGAAGTGCAAATTTGGGCTACATTGCTTCACTGCATAGCTTTTGTATACAATGATGATAACTAAAAACTTTACTTTGAGTGTCTTGTTGTGAAATAAGAAAATAAATATGTAAAAATTCAATGGGAGTGGAACAAGATAGATTTAAGGCAAACTGGTTACTGAATAGTTTATATTGAGATGTACTTTCGGTATAGATGTAGTACAGAAGCTGCAGAAGACTGCTGAATAGCAGGTTCCAATACAGACTAGACCAGGAGGTGGGGGGAAACAATCAAATGAGCACATCAGGTATAAACCACATTCTTTGAAATGTTTGTGTAGCTCCCACAAAGTCCAAGTATTTTAATTTTACTGAAAATGAAAAGAGAAACTTCAAAGGTGAAAGAGATAAATTTGTATTTGACAAGAGATGACACAAGGACATTAATTCATATCTGTGTTTGGCACCTAATCACTAATCTGCTTTTATATGAGCAGTAATGACACATGAAACTCAAAGCGTTTACAACAATTAAAGAGATTGGAAGTCATGAAAAGATGAAAAGACTAACTTCCCTGTCTCTTTCCAGGTCTTGGGAAATGAATTACTGGTGGGCCACTCCACCATGTCATCTAACAGTCTCCTAAACGCTGCCTCACCTCACAGTCTAATGCTTCAAGCTGCCTTCAGCCTTCTGTTGCTACTCCTTCAAATCCTTATCAATGAACGCTAAAGAGCACAGGGGGCATGCCAAGGATTCTCCTAGTACCAAGCAAATGGGAGGACCTGTGCAGTTCAGAGGAAGTGGACCGTGTGGCGTTATTCCTCCCTCTAAATTTGTACAGCGATTCTGTTCTTCTATTTTTCTCTCTAAATAGTCCGGTTCCACCTGTCAGAGTTCTCATTCTGAGTGTGGGAGCCTTTGACAGACAGATGCCTGTCTGTGCATTTGTATATTATTGCGATCAAGCTGAGATGAAGTCAAGGTGCTGCTTCTGTGGACTAGCTAAGTTTTCAGCTCTCTGTGTATCTCTATTCAGTTATAATATAACAAATGTGTATGATATTTAGACATGAAGTATGTACTGTGAAGATTTGTATTATAAACAGAGGCTCTTGTTTAAATATGGTTCTGAAAAATGACTGGAGAAAACTTTGTATGTGCTCTGTGGATAAAGTGTTCAGAAAGCTGCTGTCTCTTCAACGGAGTGAAAGAAGACCATTATACCTGACCAATACTGGAACTGTTGAGCAACCAAGAGACAACAGAGCTGCATTTCACTCAGACATCCTGGACTAATGCACTGATTCCAAAAATGTCTAGCACAACTATCAAGAAGAGATGTGGCGAGAACATGAGAAAAACCTTGACATCATCATCATCTTTTCCATTGAAACTGTCCCTTTCTCAAACTCCCCAGCAACATTTCACTTTTTATCGCTAAAACCTCAGAAGCTGTTGATAGAAAATAGAAGTCCTTGGTCTTTATCAGCGAAGGTGACTTCTGGAACTTGAAAGGAAATAACCAGAGAAGCTGAGACTCTTTACCTGTAGCTGCTGTGCTTTGTGTTTGTAAGTGCAATGGCCCTTTGTTTCTCATTGTGTAACTGACCATTTCTATACAGAGCTCTGAATTTTTGTGCCGGAGAACAAAGGGAATGGTTTTACTTATTGAGGTGTCACCTACACCAGTAGGGAGCCTGTTAGAGATTTGACAGTAATGAATGATTCAGTATTTCCTGTCTGGGAACATGCCAACCAGAGGAGTAGCAAATAAAAGTTCTCCGATCATTATGAATACATTTTGCTATTATTCAACCTTTTCTAATTAAATTAGCAATGTTTAGTGCTGTTGAAGTTAACACTATTAGGTTACAATTTCACTCCATATTTTTTACACTCACCAGAGTTTGAGAACCACTGACAGCTAAACTAACAGTCATAAAACCTATGAGGTACTATCAAGTGATTATTTGAAGTAAGAATATAACAGGATTTACATAATAATTCAGCCCTTTTGACAAAGTCTGATCTGTTTTAAGCCGATAAATTGCTTCATATTGGAGATGCGCTTATATCTTGCTTCGAATTCCTTAACGGCTATTTGAAGCTAATTTTAAAGGCATTCAATATATTAATTATACATACTTAAGTTAATTATCTGAAAACTGTATTGATTTTTGCTGCACTTACTAGCTATTACCAACAGTAGATACAACTAGTGCTACATGTTACTGCCAAAGACTAAATAAGAAAATACAAAATTCACTAATTTACTATACCATCATAGCTGAACATGTTGCAAAACATATTTTTTAAAAGGAAAGCCCTTATTCATAAGAGGCTCAACAGAGTAAACACACACACACACACACACACACACACACACACACACACACACACACACACACACACACACACGAATTGCCGTGAAATGAGTATCATGAGTGATCCTTTTTTTTTTCCTGAGAATCCTGTATAGCTTTGAAAACTGGAACTGCTGTAATGCTCAGCAGTAAAAGTAAAATCTGGCTGATTTACTGATTTCTGCAGATAGTCACTATAAACATTCGTCCTTTACCAGTATTTACATTTTGCATTTGGTTTAAACAGAAAATTATCGGTATTCAATAAGCTGTGACATAAAATGCTGAATTATCTTGTTGTTAGCATTGTAAAAATTGCAAAATGAATTAAATTTGCATACATTTATGGAATATAACAAATGCCAACATGTTTTGGGGTTTTGTTGATTCACTGCATACAGTCGGCTAAATGAATGCCTGTTTGCTCATAATTGTGTGCAAAATGAAACATTTCCAAACACTGCCATGATAAAATTCAGTGTGCTTTTTACTAACACTTATGAGTTTAATCTTTGAATGGAAGTAAAGATCATTTACATCTAAATTAGAGACAAACTGATTTTTAAGACAGAAAGCAATGCCAATATTTCATGATGTTCTGATATAAATGAGTCAATTTTTTTCAGACACATATAAATGCTGATAGATATTGGTTAAGCAAAATATCAACCAATAAACTGTTGTAGGCCTAATCCAGCTATTTATGTAAAAAAGAAAGAAAGAAAGAACTTAGCAAGATTAGAAATATTCATTGTGCCTGTTGCCAAACCTCTTCAAAAAATAAGGCAACTTCAAATATATAAATAGCTATAAATTGAGTTAATTGTAAAGTTGAAATAAAGGTCATTCGACTGAACTTGCTATGGTGAAACTCTGCTTGCAGACAAAAATGGAGCTTGATAATCATTAGCTCAAGCTGATGATTATCAAGCGTCATGCACCATCTAACAAATTCAAAGTGTAGGTGTTGGAAATGCAAATATTATTGTTGCAGTTATATGTGGTAGTAAGTCCAAGACAGAATCAAAGTTCATAGTCATCCCCTGACTAGCTACTCATTTTGTTAGCGAGGCTAAAAATAGCAATGGACTAAATTACCTTTGCAAACATTGCAATCAAGACTGGGTACACACACACACACACACACGTAGGTAGTATGGTAGCTTTTATTAACCTGTATATGCCTCACATATGTCTACTTATTATTTTGAGGATTTGTTACACTATGACTAGGATAGTTCTGCTAATCAGAAGCTTGGTGGTTGGACCTCTGGCTCCCTTAGTCTCGTTGTATCTTTGGGTGAGACAGATGATTGAGGAAAATGATTCAAGTGCTCAAAAGAAGTAGAAAAGTAATAGTTATATATAATATTAAAATTCCAGTCTATTGGCCATTTTGGCTGAAAAATATCCCTTTTTGTCTGATAATTTGAAAACGTCTTAATGGCAACACATATTGTATTAAACAAATCTTTGGGAAAATTGTCAACACACAAAAATGAGACTAACTACTTATTTGACTATTAAACTTTCTTTGTGTTGTTTTGAATAATAAATGATTATTACTCTTAAAATGATACAAAGTTACAAGTTTAGTTATCCCTAATGCGCTACTTTTTTCTAATTAATAACATAAAAATTCCCAAAGATATTAAAGATTAACATTATGCTTTGCAAAACCTATATGTCAATATTGACCCAGAACACCATTTCAACAGAGATTCCTAATCTGAAGAATTTTACTCTCTGATTAAATACAATTTAAAAAACAGTCACACATAGTAGAACTGCTGTACAATGTCATGCTTGCCTTTTTTCTACAGCACTTTTGTCCTTTTCTATGTCTTCTATGTCCGTGTTATTTTAAATAATTAAAAATAAACATAGCAGTTTTCCCTTAACGCAGAGATAAAAGAACGATAGGCTGGAAAGTTAACAAGGAGAAAAAAATAATCAGGTAAATCCAATTTGTACAAGACTCAGAGTTATGACTGCAGATGAAAGTCCCCACTTATGATAAAAAAATGTGGAGCCTACAAAGCTCTTTATCAGAACTAAATGAAGAATACAACACTTGTTTGCATCATCGTGCAGTTACACCGTAGGAATGTATAATGAAGTCAGTGGAGTGACCTCCAACATAATGCATGGCAGTGAGGAACAATGCTCATTTTAAAATTAATGTGGATGATAAACAGATTGCTGTGATTATATCAGAACTGCTCAGCTGATTTATACCAGACTCATTACTCCATGAGTGATGCATTTTCATTTTCACTGTGCAGCGTCGTGGAAAAAACAAACCCAGTTTAGAATCATCTCTTATCCCTGATGACCCATAATGCAATTTGTCAAACTGGAACTTTACTTCTTGTAATATTGGTCCTTTAATATCTACAAGAAAATTAAAAAAAATCCTAAAGAAAGTTTAATGGAGCTCTGGAAATGTCAAATGCACACCTCCACATGCATAGAGCTTGCATGTTTACTCTTGCTGAGTTTGTCACAGGAAGGTTTTGCTAATAACATTGTTCCATATAGCATAGCTTGTTTTGCAGTCAAAAAGATGGCGGTTTCCATAAATATAAAGCAGTCCTACATTGACTTAAACACAATCTAGGATCCCACCGACAAGACCTTTCTGTGTAGGCAGTGAATAACTGAAAACTTATTATTGGACACTTTTATTTTTTTATTCGTTTATTTTTACATATAAAGATGGATTTTAAAAAAACAACTAATAAAAGATATTCAATGTATTTTGACAAATGCAGCCCACTTTTACTTTACACATAGTGTTTTCTATGTCCATGCAACCAAGGCTTGCTGGAAAGTGGCTGAAAGTCAATCCCACAAACACTAGAAGTTGGCTAACTGAAACCAGAACGTTATAGTAGAGTACTGTAGTGTGCAGTATAATAGAGATTAACTATAATTTAAATCATTTAGCATAAAAGTATAACATTGCTTTGGATGTTTAGCGTTCAAAGCAGTGTTTTATATTAAAGCATTCAAATCTACAAGTGGCCAGCTGTATCCTCGGGTGGGATGCTGGGAACTATGGGAACAATGGCCTGTCTGCAGCTTGTCAATAACAACAAGTGTTTAAGTGTACTTGGCACTAGGAGACCTTAGGTAACAGGCTGATGGCTGTTTGTCTTAATTGTAACATTAGACCTGAATTGGAATCAGATAGCAGAGAAAAAGACTGAGAGGTCTGCTTGGCAGACTGGGATGTCCTCTCACCTCTGACAGAAGTCGTACGTCATTCCAAGGGAGGCGGGAGACACTGAGTCTGGCTGAGCAAACGGAGGTGGTTTGGGCATCATTCTCGGATGCCTTCCATGTGAGCCATGTCCATGGGATGAGATGCCAGGAGACACTGGGTAGATTGTGTCCTTCAACGGGACTCTATTCAGTTACATGAAAACCTATGTCCACCCTTCCTGCTTGCATAGGAATTAAGAGGGTAAACAGCAGACAGGGCTGCTAATAAAATGGATTTGATCAACTGATTAATCAGCAAGTGTGACCATAGTCCTCCCAGGACTGGGCACTCCAGCAAATGCTCAGAGAAACTGCAGATAAAACCCAAGAGCAAAGAGCTACAGCTCAAACTATACAGGCCTGTATAGCATGTTAAATGTTAAAGTTCATGAAAAGCTTAGAAAAAGCAGGTGGCCACATGCCACATGGTCAGAGTGTCAGAGTCCAGCTTGTGACCCTTTGCTGTGTGTCTTTCCCCTCATTAATGTTATTTTTTTTTAAAAGATAAAACTAAATATAATGTTTCAGCTGTAGAGTGGCACAAGGCAGAGCTTAAAGATCTTTTGCCTACACTTGTCTTCACTGATATTATCAGTGGACAATCATGACAATGAGATGGATTATCTGATATCTGGACAGACAACTTATTGAAAAACACAATGACTTTATCTTAAATAAACTCCGCTCTAGAACCTCTGTAGTTTACTTAAGTATTTAAATTAATGTTCATAGTTTTAATTTAGGACATAAAAGTGATAATGAATTACTTGCAAATTAATTGTTACCTTTTTACACCAAGGAATTCATATCATATTCATTATTACCAATTACAGCAACTTGATACATTTGTAGTATGTGCTAAAATCCATTTGCTGCTCACTTAACACATTTCCAGGACCCCACTTGTGCCATACGGTGCGTATTGGAAACTAACATATCACTCTCACTCAGTGTTGGGGAGTAACGGAATACATACAAAATATGAGTAACTGTATTCCGTTACAGTTACCGTTTAAAAAGGTGGTATTCAGAATACAGTTACTTTGTTGAAATAAATGGATTACACGGCGGTACTTCCTGTTTCATATTGTGGCGGGTCAGGACTGTTTGGGTTTTGTTTCACAGCTATGTTCTGTTGTTCCAGGCAGCAGTGTTACGGTTGCCATGGTTACAGGCTGACGTGCTCTCCCTGTAACCATGGCAACTGTAAGCATGTAAATATAATAATAACCACTGCAGCCAAGAAGAGTGCCTGACGAGCCCAGTTGTAAGTACGCTATTAAGACTCGACTGTGTTCGTGTTTTCCTCCGAAACAATAAGTTCCGTTGGAGCAGCCTTTCAACGCCTCTCTCTGTCTCAAACTTGACCCACACAACAAAGTAAAGCTATTTTTCAGCTACAAGCCCGACACGGAACCCGACATATTGGCCAGAGGTCCCTTTACGGTTCGGAGCCGCGGACCTTCAGTAATAGTAATAAATCACAGCAATAGTACATTCATGTGGTTGTAAAAAGCATGATAATATATTAAGTAATCCAAAGTATTCAGAATACGTTACTCTCATTGAGTAACTAAACAGAATACGTTACAAAATACATTTTGGGGCATGTAATCTGTAATCTGTAGTGGAATACATTTAAAAAGTAACCTTCCCAACACTGCTCTCACTGCCTGTGAAGACAACATATTTTGTTCACTATCCTGGTTTGAAGATTTTTTTTTCAGATTAAATATAAATTTAGCATTTGGGTCAGTAACCCATTTGTGGTATTCAGGTTAGCTTCGCTAGATCAAAAATCTGCCTTATAAATTGGGCAGGTAAAATGATCCTGAAGCACAAAATAAAAGAAGAAATATGATGTTTTTCCCTCTACATCTAACCTCATTCCTTTCTAATATATCTGTATTTTTCTGTAACTTTCATGTGTTTGGGACTATCACTTGGATTCATTCACCCCTTTTGCCCTTCCCCCTCCGTACACTGCAGTTTCCACCCAGTGGTGGCTCTGAATCGAACAGCAATCAATAACAACAATCAAATTCTGCCCTAGGGTGTTAAAACCTCTTGCCATTTACCAGTGGATCATTTTACCTGCATCAAATCAACACAAAGTTTCACTTGTAGTATTTTCAAACTCCATGAGGTTACCATGTTATTTTCTGGTGTGTTTGTCTTCTGTTTCCAAGGTAAAGTGAGACTGCTACCTGCAACTAACTGCTGTAAACACAGAAGAAAAATACGTTAATAGCTCACGACATTATCATGACAATTTTTAGCCTTTCAAAGGTATAATGGATGTTAGCTTCTGTAATTTTACTTCCACAGATAAATGTAACAAAATCACAACACTCACAAAATATAGTCATTGTTCTTTCACAGAAGTATAAATGTAGCTGTGTATCCACACCTACTGCTAATTTCTAACCAACATGCTTGAAAGACAAGCATGTTGGAAGACAACATGCTTAAAAACACCAGACAAAAAAGCCTCAAGCAAGTACAGTCCCAGAATCCCCTGCACCCCCTATGCCCCCTGTACATTGTGTTCAGATTTTTAATGAGTCGGACTCAGTATTACTAATCGGTCTGAAAAGCATCACTGCAAGAGTCACAGCAAGAAAATCTAATGCAGGTTATTATTATACTGGACTGTGACATTTGCCAGCCAGACTGTATGACAATGAACAGACACTTATATATATTATCACCATGATATGAAAAATACACAGATTTTCTTCCACCAGTCCAATTCAGGGTTAGGTTTGTGCTGGAGCATCTGCCAGATGTCATTCTATTGATAAAGATTTAGTTATTCTGATTGAGATGATTTTATGAGGGACTGTGTCTTCATAAAAAATAAGTAAAACTTAAAAAGTAAAAAAAAAGAGTTTATCTATTCTTTTTGAGGGTGTTTCTTTTTTAGAAATGTCCTTAGGCTGACTTTGGCAAGTCTGGGCAAAGAGTGCACAGATGAGGAAAAGTAGCTGCAGCATGAACTGCTTTGGCAGCAAGCAAGCATTCACGTTCCAAACCACAATGATGGGTCTTAAATCTCTCCAGACCATGGACACGTAACTACGGATACGTTTATTATACTGCATCATACAAACAGTACACAAAGTAGCATGCAGTCAAATGCCAATAAATGACAAGGCGAAGAACAACAAAATGGCAAATTCAGGTTTTGTCTACAGACCAATCAGTATCAAGTA